GAGGACAGGATGGTGTGGGACAAAATTAGTGTCTTGTAAATTAACAGTTTTATAAATAAATCACTTAACAAGGGGCTGAGATTTTACTTTGATAACTTTTAAATGCTTACGAGTCAGAAAGACTATGACCAGTGTTTTACAGCTACATTATTCCAATTTAACTCAAGATTCCTAATTCTGGCACCATCATGAACGCCGCTGCTGTCACCTCATATCATTGCACCACTTCTCCTCTGCGATTGCTCCTCTTGTGCCAGTAGCACTTCCACTTTCCTGTCACACATACCAGCCTCTCAATGCTGTGCATTTGTCTGCGGTAGCTGGAAGGGCCCCTGCTTTCAGCGGCATAACTCTACGTCATGCTTTGTTCCTCTGTCATGTTACTGTGGAAGCCAAGACTGGGGGGGGGCTGGGGGATACCAGTGTGCTGGTTTTCTTAGTCTTCTATAATTAGAAATGAGTATCTTTGGGTTTTGGACTGCTGGATGTCTCAAGACGACCACTTTTTAACTATTTTCTGACATGATTTTATAGACCAAATAATCAATTAATCAAGAAAAAAAATCATGAAAATAATCATTAGTTGCGGCCCTACTTGAGTATATCTCTGGGTTAATGTTGTGATGTTTTACAGTGTATTTCTTCTTGTATAAAATAAAAATAACAAAGGAAAAAAAAGAGGAAAATATGTTCTTGAATGCTCTTTAAAGAACCTGAAGGAAAACTCAAAACATTTCAAACATCATCACATCATTGGCTTCTGACTCTTTATCTCCACTGTCTTTGCTGAGGGTGTAAAAACAAGGTCAAAAACAATATCCAGTTGTGCTAATCCCATAAGAGATCATGGCTGTTTTTACATCCTCTTAAACCTGCTTGTCTGCAAAACAGGATCATTATCAATAACAACAACAGAACAAGAAGAGAAACCAAACCCATACTGCCACATGATTTTGGTCTCTGGCATCCCGAAAGATCACACCTGTTACCTCCAGATGTGTCTCCCTACAGGACTACACACAGAGAGGGGTCGGGGTGGGTTTACAGGCAAAACACTGGGTATTGTCCCTGCAGGACAATTGAATACACTCGTTTAACAGTCCGACTGACCAAACACAATGACAGCACTCACGGTACACTGAGAATGGATGAACAATGAATGAGCAGAGACGAGCCGAGCACAACGAAAATGGCATGGTGTAACTAGCAGCTAGTGGCTCTCTGACGGCTTCACTTCAGTGAGTTTAAATAAGAATTGTGATTAACCTTCCCAAAATTATCTCCTGAATTTGACAGAAAAAACACATGCAGGTCTTCTCTTCTCACTAACAGTGAAAAATGTTTTGAATTTTGATCTTTCAACAACTCAGACAAAGTACTCACCGAAGTAGAAACGAATCAGGCAGCCAATTTCTGGATTCATCCCTTCCTCCTGCACCCTCCAAGCATCTTCAAACCCCAGATTAGTGAGGTATTCGTTTAATATCTGCAGAGGCCTCTCATCATCTCCCAGCCGCCGCACTGCTCCACCATGCAGCTGGATAAAGAGGGCCGGGGTTGGACTAGTATTGATGGGCTCCAGCCATCCCTTGTCCCCCCCAGGGATCTCCAGGTCAGGCTGGACAGATGCTTGGCTGGTCAGGGGCCGAGATTGGGAGCTGCTGGAGCATTTAGAGGGAGGGTTGATTAATTTGGGGGTTTCTGTGTTGTCCCCAGCTCCAGTTTCAGTGTGGAGATCTGGTCTTGTCACTTGGTTGGAAGCATTAGAAGGGTCTGTGGTGGTGATCAGGTCTCCCTGCTGGTCTGCAGCAGAGTCACCGGTTGAGTGTGTCGGAGAAGATGTGAGATCTACTTCATCCGAGGAGCTCTCAAATGGGTCAGGTCCCTCTGTGGCACTGTCACAGTTTGGGCTCAACACTGAGGAGTCGGTACCCAAACCCAGCCCATCACTGAGCGAGTCCCGGTGCTCTGTGCTTCTGGGTCCACCTGGGCTGAAGTCCTCACAGGTGCTGCTCTCTATATCTGAACCTGAGTAGACTCCATAACAGTCTGCCACACTCAGGCTCAAATCCATCCCAATGTCATTCAGATAGACCTCAGATGAAGAGTTACTGGCAGTTTTGTCATCCAACAAGTTAGAGGACAGTTTAGTGTAAGGATAATACTGTTTTGTGTGTTCACTCTCGTCTCCTTTGAGGTTTTTGACATCCACACTGTCACTAAGACCTTTAATATCATCAGTCTGTCCATTACTATCTTTACAGTTATCATTTAAGTCAACTAAAGCAGTAGTTTTGCAGTTAATTCTCAACACAGCCCCAGCTTTGCTCCCTTCCAGCTTACAGGCTACCTCTTTAGCAGTTGTGTCCACTGTGCACAGAACCGGTCGTGGGTAGGAGGGCGTGAGCCAGTCGTGGACGTGAATGCAGCCCCGCCGTAGGTCCGATCTCACCCATGTCTTATCAGAGGCCTGAAGCTGCTTTGACTGCTTCTGCCGAAGAAAAGTCTTCCTATCCAGACTGAGGGTGCTCAGGGGCGAGGCGGAGGGAGCGGGACTAGCCGCCTCCGCAGAGGATACCCCAAGAGAGCTGCTGGTCGGCGGAGCCCCCAGCGACAGATTCCTCTTGTGCCTCTGCCGCCTCCTGCTCAGCAAAGAGTTGACAGAAGTGCTGCTGTTGACTGATGTCAGACTATAAATGTTGGCTGCTTTCACGGCGGGCATGTTTGTATTTTTGGCCACACCGCCGATAGCGTTGGCAACTTGGTTTTGATAGATCCCGTTCCTTATCGCAATCTGGAGAAGGGAGGTGGCCGCAAGCCCCTTCCCGAAGAGTTTCGCCTCTGCGCCCCCTCCGTCATCCTCCCCAATGGAAGGTCTCTTTCCAGCAGACAGCGGTGTTAATCCACTTGTCTTCACTGAGTTACTGTCACTGCCAGAATCGGGTATCCCCTGTGGTGTTGGTGGAGAAGAAACCGCTCCTGGCTCGTTTTCCTTCACACTTTCCATCCTGTTAGCTAGCGGCAGCGGCGGCGTCGGTTAGTTAGCAACAGCCCGCAGGTGAACGCTAGCCCGCGTTAGCTCAGAGCCGTTAGCTCGCCCTAGTAGTTACTGGCTAGTTTTTCACGTTAGCTTAGCATGCTAAGGTGCTGCGCAGTTCGTCCAAAGAGTTACACCGCTACATCATACCGTATGATAACACGCCCGTTAGCTCTCCCACGGGAGCTAACCGGCCGGTCGACATGAGAAAACGCTTTTCTAGTTGGTCGCCATGGAAGCTAACGCGAGAAGGCGCGACTGCTACTGTACAAACCGAACAGAGCGACGGTCAGTGGTACACGGTGGACAGGGCGGGGTCTCATTGGATATGAATTATGACACGTTCATGTGCTATCACAATGCTCGGAATTATGTAAATTATGTACATGACTGCGACGAGACTTCACGCCATAAACTGTACATAAAAAGGTTCACACTGTGGTCCGCATTAACAGAATACTGACAACAAGAGCTATGCACCTTATTCCCTAATGTTAATATTTTACACGTTTACATGTCATCAGCTGGAATAGAACTTCATAGAACATAACAACAAGAGGAATATATTTTTAAAACAGTTGGATTAACATAATAGCTACTGAATACTGATTTAAAGTGTATAAACATTTTCAAAAACTGAAATATCATATAGGTTAAATATCAATATATATTTACATAGAATTTAGCCATGATCACAACATATTTAATAGCTTACATAAGTAATTCAATTCTTTGAATGCCCGTGCAGTCTCATTCACAACTTTCGATATTTTGGTTTACGAGTTTAAATGAGGCTTGAATGCAACATAAATTGCAGTTACATTACTTTGTTATCAAGCTCAACAGTCCCTTTTTAAGAGAAGGATTGTGAACAAAAATGTGTTTGTCCCGACCTGATGACCCGATAGAACATCCTCCTGCAAGTTAAACAATTATCCTTCTACAATTTGCTGTGCAGTTTTGCATTTGTTGTCTATCAGTAATCACAGGAGAAATGTAACTCGTCTTCTGGTGCCACCTAATGGGATAAAAATCAAATCACCAAAGCAACCCAAAAAACACTTATTATTATAATATTTATAATTCAATGGTGTAAGAGGTATTCAGATGCTCTAATATAAAACTAGCAGCAAAATGGACTTAAAGTGTCAAAAGCAGAGGCACTTATTGTCAGTCTTGCATCATTATAGCCCATATTATGTTCACCATCTATCATAACCGATTCATTACTGTGTAAGAAACACTTATATGGTGTACTGGATCACAATACTTTTTAAGTAGTTTAATTTATAGCATTGCATTTAACTTTTTTTCCCTATTTTTGTTTGGGAATGTATACACTTGTCCTAGTTATATGCATGACACAATAATGAAAATTCAATTCCTTCATTCACTCAATAAAAAAGTATGATTGTAAAAAAAATGTAAAAAGTCCAGTATTTCCCACTGAAATTTAGTGGAGTATAAGTATAAAGTAGCAGAAAATGGAAATACTGAAGTACAGTTAGCTCAATTTTGAACTTAAGCATACTAGATGAGTAAATATGCTTAAATACATTCCACCACTGCTACAAGTTAGCACAATAAAGGAATAAATCATAAATAGGATTCAGTTCATTTACTCTGCCCTTATCAGATGAGGGTCTGGTGAAGTGTCCTTCACATTGTAAAGTTTGTTTAAAGTCCCTGCAGCACATAGTACAGCTCAGACAGTTTAATCAGCCACTGTATGAGCTAATGAATGTTTCTGTATCTGTCTTTATCACTTTTGCATGCGCACAAACAGGGTGGACTGCTGTCACACTTCAGTCCAACAGAGGGCAAAGTGCAAGCTGTAACAGTATAGTATATCTTGCTCTCTCTACCCCTCTCTCTCTCTCTCTTTTCCTCCCTCCCCCCTGTCAAGTCTCCACCTCGTTTTCTTTACCAGTCACACACATAGACTTTCACTCATCAGGCTTAATAGTGCTGTGATTTTGACTTCTTGTTTATTCCATCAGCAGCTGAGGTAAGAACTTTCCTGTTGTATTTTAAGATATGTGAGTTCTCTCCTTGTGACTCACACTGAAGTTTGAATGAATGATAATCTGCTCCCACCACAGCTTCCCTGCCTTTTCAGCACAGCTAATCCAAGCTGTACTAATTAGACATGAAGTTTTTTCTGTTCCTTGAACCGTACTGGAAACTGGTGCTGGTCCAGATTTGACTCCCCAACCACCACTTTCACAAAATGACAGACAGGATGATAAATCTCAGGGGGAAGTGGGGGTTATTGTGAAAAATGTCTCCCTGCAGATGCACTGAAATGGGGTGAGTGGGAAGGGGATTAGCCTCCTGACACACTAAGACAGTGAACCCCAGCAGACATGTTTCCACTGGGATTCAGTCGATTTTAAGAGGTCATTTAATCCTGCATCAAGTCTTAAAAGCGTACGTTTCTTGGGACAAGTGAAAAGCCCTGCCAGTGGGGGTTTGATAATTACACTTGTTACCAATGCAAATGAACCTCCTACAAAAAAATGTGACATGATTTTGATACTAAGTAGATAGAGGACGAAGTAATTGAGATATCCTTGATAAAAAGAAGAAGAAAATGAAATTACCTCTCCCTGCTAGCGGATTTAATTCAATGTCTTTATGATGAAATAAAATTGTGTAACTCAATAAGGAGCCTCAGCAAGGATCAGATGTGCTTGGGGATTAGTTTACTGCTCTGATAAAAAGCATTCAGTGAAAAAGAAATAAAAAAAGACAGGGATCTAAATGGAGGTGACATGATAGGACACTTGAGGATGGCAAGCAAAACAATGCTTGGTGTGAGGCACAGTGAGGCTATGCTGTCAATTTCACTTCAGGTATTTTGCGCAAACACTTTCAATTTCAAACAATCTGTCAGCGGAATTAACCACCAAACGACGGCTCTATCCCTGCTGCATTTCAGATGCCAGAGGATGTTTTTCCACTGCCAACTTGTGCCTGAAGGAGAGAGGAGAAAGAAACAAAGATGGCTAATCCATTTTGGAATGCCTTCCTTTAAAATGGGAAATAGAGACTATAATTAGATGTGGCCAGTTTAAGCTCGAGGACTTTGCTAAGCAGCTCTCCCTATAGCAACGTTGTGCATGTGTGTGTATGTATGTGTGTGGTTAAGTCGCACACATCCGTTTGTTTTGGTTCCTCAGGCGGAGCACACTGACAAATTTAGATTCCAGCAGCCTAAAAATGCTGGAAAAAAAAAACACAGAGCAGAAATACATAATTGGAGAGTAGTCACTCATTAAGATAGCCCAACCCTGTCAACTGTTTCAGCAAGGACACATTAAGCACACTCAAAAAAGAGTGAGCACACGTTTGTATAGAAATGTACATTTTTCACACGTGTACCAAAACAAGTCTGGACCCCAGATGTGTACTATGGGAACCACCATGTAGGAAGTCAGTAGCCTGTTGTCGGGGGTGCCTAGGTGGCACAGGGGACCTAAAGAGGCCTGGGTTCAGTCCTCAGCAGCAGCACTTCTGGCTTGGCCCTGAAGACCTTGGGTGGGAAGCTGGTGAGGGATCAGCACCAGTGAGTCCTATTGATTGGTTTTTTACTTTCCTTTTCTCCCAAAACTGAAAGAAAAAGTTGAAAATGAAAAAAAGTAGCACAATGATTTCCTCAGTATTGTTTAATGATTATTCCATTGTTTACAGCTACATTTTGGTGACTTAGAGTTCAGAACATACTGAATTTTGAACTTTAAAGGTACAAATTGGTGATTCAAAATAGACTAAAGTAGTACCAACAATGAGAATGTTGATTGTATGATCAGATAAATGACAGAAAAAGACCCTTTTAATTCGGTCATCTTAAAGCTCCATATAGTAGAAAGGTAGATGTCCATGTGTAGTTTGATTATAAAGCAGGTCTAGGTTCTATATTAATACTGTGAAAGTATCAAAGTGCTCAGTCCACATAGAATGCCTTAAAATGAGCTGTCAGGATTTCTGTAACTGTGTGATGTCACAACAAAGCAGCCCTTAGCCATACCCCAAGCCCTGCACACCTGGATCCACCAAGCAACCTTGCAGGATTTGGTTTCTCTGAGTGTTTTACCTGAAATCTGCTATATTTTTATTGGATCACTCAGAAAACAGGCAGCCAATCAGAAGAGAGGCTCAGAGCCTTGCTCTTCTATAAGACACCAAATATCTATTGAGACTGTCTTCAAACCACCCCATAATATACAGTTCATAAATAATCTAATTACATATAAGAGAATAATAAAAGCATGTAACGAAGAGAGGACTTGACTATACACTAGACTCTGACAAAATAGAAAGAATAGAACATTTTTTGTTTTTTATTGTTTTGACTGAAAGTTCGAACCTTTAAGCTAATTTTTACTGTTATTTTTGACATCTTTGGAATTGGGATCAATAACTTGATTGAGTTAGCTCTTATGATCCTGTTATAATGAGTTTTGGACATTTATATTTTAATTCATAAATGTATCACCAACATGATCTGCTCTTGTTAAAGAATGTAGTGTGTTTTCATTCATGCTGCAGTGGTTCCCACTGGGTTGTTCCTGTGTGTTGCTCTGGTCAAAATGGTTGTATCACTGTTTACTCTGCTGCGGTCACATGGTTGGGGTGAAGGCGAGGTTAGCCATCGCTCTTTGTACGCTCTTCCCTGCTCCACTGTCTGCTGAACTCCCTCCCACAGACGTGCACTAACATGCATGTAATTGCCCTGGTCCATATACACTCAGATACCACAGAATTATCCACTGTATGGCTTACAGAAGAGTGTGGGAGGAAATCACATTCTCTAGGATCTCAGATTAGATACTTAAAAAACAAGAGACAGGCTGATGATATTTGAATTTACAAAACTTAAAAGTTGCTCGAAACAAATCTAATTTTCAGACACGTTTCATGGCTTTGGATTTATAACGTCAAAATGCCAGGCACCTTACTCTACTGTTACTCCATTAAAGCTCCATATTTTCCTCTTATCCAGTGTTTTATTTGAAGTGTTGATCCATAAGAAGATAAATTTGTGGTTTAAAGAACCAAAAACCATCTCAGTGTAGTTTTACATCTCCTCTCTCAGGCTTCTCTCTGGAGCTCTAGTAACAACAGGTCGGTGAGCCAATCAGAAGAGCGAGGCTCTGAGCCTCTCTTCTGATTGACTGACTGTTTTCTGAGTGATCCAATAAAAATATAAATAGCAGATTTCAGGTAAACACTCTGAGAAACCAAATCCTGCAAGGTTGCTTGGTAGGTCCAGGTGAGCAGGGCTTGGGGCATGGGGAATGGCTGAGAGCAGTGACTGCATTGTTGTGACATCACAAAGTTACAGGAAGTACTGACGGCTGGTTTTTAGGCTCAGTTTCTGAATACAGGCTGTGTGTATTTCTCTGTGGACTGAGGCTTTGATACTTTCAGAGTATTAATATAGAACCTAGACCTGATCTATAATCAAACAACACATGGACATCTACCTTTAGACTATATGGGACCATTAATAAGAACATAATTTGGGTTGCCAGGTTGTGGAAAATCCTCCTCCAGCTGTTTCCAGAGGATCAGTGGTCAAACATTGGAGAGGACACCCTAACAAACTAAAAAGCTACAGGACAGGACAAATATCTGCTGAAGGATAACCTAAAAGTTCCTCTTATGAAAGGAACTAAAAAGCATTTATAAATAATGTATAAATCTTAAATAAATCCATTAATTACAGCTTTTGGACCTTTCATTAACGGTGTCTTACCAGAAAGTTGTACTGATAAGACATTTCATTTTCAAAATATAGGACCATTAATGCTTAAAACCAAAAAATAAACCTACAAAAAATGTTGTGGAGTGATGTGAATAACACATTTTTGCCAAGGCCATGATGTTCTGTGCTCACTTTAATGGTTTCATGTTGGTGAGTAATGAGGTTGTGATTCTTCTCTGACTCATCATCGCCTCTCCTGTGGTCACGAACTCAGTGAGGGGTTCCAGTCACTAAGCATTTGTTTCAGTTCCTTATTTTTTTGGCCTTGACTCCACTTTGTTTTAGCATCACATCCAGTAAAAGGATTTTCAGATTAAAAACGCTGACCGCATTTGAACCCAGATATCGCTGTCTGGGCCAAAAACGCTCTGCAGTTCCAGCTGATATGGCACAAGCTCAGATAAATGCTCTGCAAACAGCTGCTGACCTGCAGGGAAAATTCTCACTTTTTTCCATGACTGTCACTGTCACACCCTGAATTTAACTTCTTGTGTCTTTATAGGTGCCCATGTGACTGAAGTCAGTCATGGAGGAACTGCGCCAAATTGATCTGATCTACATCACTGAACGTATCATCACCATATTCTGCCCTCCTGAGTGTCTGGAGGAGAGCTACCTGCAAAACCTGCAGGACATTATTCGCATGCTGCAGTCCAAGCATGTACACAACTACATGGTGAGATGGCTGAAACATACAGTGGAAAAGGAAGTGCTCGGATCTTAAGTTAAATGTAGAAATAAGAAATACCCAAAATGGTACTCGAGTAAAAACAAAACTGGGTTACCAACAGAACAAAGTGGACAACTGCAGGAGCTCCAAATTCCCTGGGGCCCCAAAAGCCCCAAGTTTACTGCATTCATTTGGGTGTATATATTTTGATTAATTTGTTTGAAATGTGCACAACTGCGATGGTTCCTCCATCCTCCATTTGCACATTCAAATTATTTTTTGTCTGACCAACAATCAAAAAGCAAAGATAGTGAATTTTCTATCACAGAAAACTGAGAAAATAACATATAACAATAACAGCCAGAGCCACCTTTCAACACCTGGAGGGAATTGCAATTTTGCAAATTTGGTACAAACATTCACCTGGACTCAAGGATGAACTGTCTAGATTTTGGTGGTCAAAGGTCAAAGGTCACTATGACCTCACAAAACATGTTTTTGGCCATAGCTCACAAATTCATACCCTACTTATGACACAATTTAACACAATGTATGACAGGACAAAATGATGAAGTGATGATATTTTATATCCAAAAGGTTAAAGGTCAACCACACTGTGACAATATAATGTTCTGCAAAAACAACTTCTGGCCGTTATTCAGTGCTGTAACTCAGGAAGGAGAGATTGTGACCATATTTCCTGCAGCTTGACATTTTGGCAGAGGCGTACAACCACGATTCTAGTTAGCTTAAAAAATGACTCAGTTAATCAATTATCACAATTATTGCCAATTAATTTCCTGACTAAAATCAATCGATTAATGAACTAATCGTGTCACCTCTCGAGTACTCGGATGTACAGTGAGATTAATAAGGGCCCAGCAACAAATGTTTGCCTTGTGGCCCGTTTGGAGATTATGAATAAAAGTACAAAAGTACTAGCATCAAAATATGTTTAATGTACCAAAAGTAAAAGTACTCATTATGCAGAATAGTCCATTGCAGAATAATAAATATTACATTATTGGACTTGATGCATTAATATACATATCACTTTAAGATTGCAGTTTGTTTGAGTCTAATTATAAATCCGTATTTCCTTCCTTCTTCAGCTCATCAACCTCTCACAGAAGAATGGCACTCTCACACAAATGAACCACAAGGTAACAATGCCACTTTACATGGTTACTTTACAACAATAAATATTGCAGTATGTTGTAAAGTATGTCAAGTCAAGTCTAGTCACTTTTTTATTTATATAACACATATCATATAGTGTATGCCTGATAAACTCAATGTGCTTCAAAATAAAAGCAAGGACACATCATACATGACAAAATATAAAATAGCATATAAGATAAGAAAATATTACATAAATAAAAGAAAGAACAAAAAACATACAGATTAGGAAGGTATTTTTATTATCATCATTATTCTAAAAGGGAGATAATAACAATAATAATACTGACTCACACCACACACTTAAACCTAACTAAAAGCTTGTGAAAAGAAATATGATATTAATTTACTTTTACAAAGTTCATATGGTAAAGAATCCCAGAGAGTAGGAATATAATGACTGAAAGCACCATGAGCTGATTTAGAGTTAATTCTTGGTATAGTGAGAGCACTTTTATATGTGATTCTTCTGTCAGGTTTTGGACACCGGTTGGGTGGATCTCCTGGCTCCCAGCTTGGATCAGATCTTGAGTGTGTGCACAACCATGGAGAACTGGCTGCAAACAAACCCGAAGCATGTCCTGGTGTTACACTGCAGGGTAAACTCCTCTGATTCCTCTGCACTACACACACACACACACACACACACACACACACACACACACACACACACACATACACACAATTCTTTAAATTGATCTGTGTGCTGTAGGTGAGTATGTTAAAGTGTATTTGTCCTGATTCTGTGTCTGTGCTCCACAGGGAGGTAAAGGGCGGATCGGGGTCCTGGTGGCTTCTTACATCCACTTCAGCAACATGTCAGCCAGGTAACACTGATGTCAGGGTGAATGTGTTCAAATGTTATAGATAAAAAGAAAATTTATAAATAAATATAAATAGGAAATTTAAATGTCAATGTTAACTTCAGCATTTGCAAACCAGATGATATTTGGTGACAGCCATGCTAGCAGCCATGCTATGTGTTGTGTGTTGTGTTGTTGAAATATTTAACTCAGAAATGGGAGAGGATCAGGAAAACAATATTTAATGGCAACCCATCCAGTAGTTGTTGATATATAGTATGTCTGTCGAGAGCAAAGTGGTCAAATAAACGAGCATCCCTACAGCTAGCGTGGCTAAAATATTACAAATATATAATATAAAAAATATATGAATAAATATGTAAAATGAGAATATAAGATAATAAAAAAACAGCAAATCAAGCCAAAGAGATACTTCATCCATCCCGGATTAAAGCTGAGAGATTTGGACACTGCCAAATACAGAGTCCACAAAAGAGATGATGTCATGGCTTCACAAATAAAAGATCTACTGCGGCCTTCATCTACTGCCATCAGCAGGCCAAATGAAGAAGAACCTTTTAACATTTGGTTCTGTCCAACAACAAACTTTTCAACCTCTGGGAGGAAGCCAAATAATTGTACAAAATCAATGTTTTATTTAGGAAAGGCTGTAAATTAATAGCACAGTGTTGACATTTACTCTTGGGCTTGCCTCCAGATCAAAGAGCGCTGACGGAACAATAGACAGAGGCTGATCTACTGTACGTCTCCAGGCAAAGGGCAGTACATCTGAATGAAAGAGACTTTGAGCTGGACTGTTATTTGATTTTCAGGCAGGGATCCTGTTGCTGTTGGACAACAGTGAATTTATTCACTCTTAATTTACCTGCATGTCAGACTCTGGATCTGTAGGAGGCGCAAAACATAGTTAACTTCACGCAAAGGCATCTTTAAAGCAAACATTGCAGTCTTTGCAGTGTATGTCATTACATAACTTCTGCTTTATGGTCTCTATGTGGGCTATTAAAAGCACATCCTCCTTTAACCATGTAACATAATGGGATGAAGTGAAAGGTGAAAGGAGAGTGGTAGGCTGGACACTGACAGCTAAATGCAGAAAAGAGGAAGATTAGGTTGAATTCTATACTGCTGGTGTGCACGTGTGTGTGTGCTCTCTGTTCATGGCTGAGCAGTTGACTCACTGTTGAGAAATATTTGATTATGACCATTGTTCCTCTTACAGTCATACTGTACGTGCCTGTATGAGTATGCATCTGTTCTCACCGGTTCTAGTCAGTTCACACAAGTTACAAAATAAAGTTGTAGTATTTAGTCACTGAGATTTCTGCTGGCACCCCCATACACAAATGTAATATATGTACATTTATTGAAAGCCCATATATGAAATATACGTATATATAAAATAAGAACACATATGTAAAAATTATATATAAAAACTATTAGAAATTGGAATCATTTCATATACTGACATATAAATCTTTCAAATACAAATATGTATGTTTATGTATCTAACCATATACAATTTTTATGCTTTAATAAATAAAAACATAGATATTTATTATATATGTATATACAAATCTTACCATGGGTATTTCATGTATGTTATAAACTTATATCTTCATATATTCAGAGAATGTATAGTCTATATGTGATAATAATAAATTCCCTTATAGTTAACATACTGTATATGGCAACATCACTGTTGATATAGGGACACATATGTCATATATTACATTTCTGTAATGGAGATGAATGTATTTTGTTAGTTCCCCTGTTACTCTGGATAAGTCACAGAATAAACTGTTGACAATTTTCATAGGCAGAAAGTGGTCTGGGGACACCGATTCTGAAAAGGCTCACTGCTGTTGGATATTTTTAATCCCTTAAAGGAGATTTTACACATCATCAGAGTCTGTTTACTGGTCTTTGGGAGCAGCACATGAAGCCTTTTGTGGCTCCAGAGGGAGCTGTGTGAAGTCTGATTAATATCTTGAGTCAACGTTGGTCGGGTCTGAGGACTACAAGTTTGAAAATTAAAAACAGCGTTACACATCTGTATCAGCTTGTTCCAGCTCTTCATTGAAGCTGCAGAGAGAGTGAAATATCAAATCATTTTAGAACATTTTAGCAACATTTAATATAAAGTTTTGCAGATGAGATAACAATCTCACCACAAGGTCCATTAAGTAGCTGTTTCAGAGCTTTCAATCCTCCAAACTGAACAATTATACAGGTTGTTTTTTCAACCCTCTGATATGGACACAACCCATAGGAGTGTCTCCTGAAATAGCGCCCCTACAACGGCAGGCATATGGGGCCTTGGTTATCATGGTTACAATAATAAACACTTCAGCGGTGTATACCTACTTTCGTAGCCATGGTTACTATAACAACGTTAATGGCTTGGTTAGGTTTAGGCACAAAAACTACTTGGTCAGGTTTAGGAAAAAAATGTGATTTGGGTTGAAATAAGAACACTAGACAATCTTTGTTGTCATGGTAACAGTCATAACAACCTGCTTAACTTTGTTGAACCATTCATGCATAATAGAAGCTGTGTCCCAGTTCAGGGACTGCATCCTTCGGAGGACGTAGTCTACGAAGGTGTGTCCCGTTGTAAACCGTGAAGGCCGAACCAAAATGAGGCGTCTGGTCTACGGAGGATTTTTGCGTTGCGTCACCAGCTGTGCCTGCCCTTACCGCTGCATCGCAAAGTGCGGCTCCTGTCTCCTAGCAACCTTGAGAACGAGTAACTTTTTCTCACAAAAACTTGAGGTTTAAAGGCCCTTGGTTTTAACAATTGTACCGTTAGCTGTTGAACTGAGCTGACATGATAATTACTACGGTCGCTAGATGTCGCCTAGCGACAAAACTTAGCTATGGGTCATAATAACCTGCTGCACAAATAACCTGTGGGCTTGTTCTCCTCGCAGTTATCAGCAGATGGCGTTGTCCCAGTTGTCTTGGAAGTATAGATGTTTTATTTCAATGTTTTGTCCATGTTTGTAGCTATTGTGGAGCTTTTGATCATAATCACATTATCTTCATCAGCAAAGTTTTTACCCACCGTATAAGTGACATTTCGGAGGTTTTTAGTGACGTGAGTGACACAGACAATATTGTATTCATTTTCATTGTACTGGGACAAAATCTCAGAGGCAGATATTTTGAAACCTCTCTGCATAAAAATCAAACAGGTATATAGCACCACAGGTAACTGAGGATATCTATGTTTTGTAATGTGGGTGAACAGAGGAGTGTGGGTGTAGTATTACATGCACCATGATCTGAATATACTCCTCTCCCTCAGTGCAGGCCTTTCTCTCGACCACTTTGCCATGAGGAGGTTCTACAACGACAAGCTGTTTGCTCTGATGACCCCTTCACAGAAACGGTAAGAACAGGCTCGATTGAGCAGGATTGCTGCAGGTTCAAAGGTCAACAGCTGCCTAACCTTCAGCATCTGATCTACGATGTAGACTGAGGGATCTGCTGTGACTGTTGACCTCTGACTGCAAGGTCACTAATCACCTGATTTATCCTCTTGTGAAATAGTTACAATTATAAAGCTACTAGAGGGAGCGTGACTCAATGAAACTACACTTTCATACTTGTAAACAAAATGAATTCATCTCTCTCTGCTCTCCAGGTATGTTTGGATGCTGGGGAGCATGTTAAAAGGAGGTCTGAGGATGTGTCCCTCTCCATCTTTCCTCCTCTGTGTTGTTCTTCATGGTCTTCCCAAAATAAGACCAGATGGAGGTGAGCAGCAGATGTCTGATCTGAAAGAGAGTGAACCAGATAAATAGCAGTAGCAGCACCGTTGTAGGAGTCCTCTTTCCTGCTTTCTCTCTACTATTTTAAAGTAATTATACAGCAGTACTGCAGTGAACATAGAACACCAGTTTGATACACCAGATTTTTTTTGTGTTTTTAGCAAATTTCACTCATAATATAATAATCCAAACTGATGCTGCAAGCAGGAGTCGAGCAAGAGTTCAAGAGTATTTTTTACACATGCTCTTGACATGAGTTAGAAGGAGTTTAGACCTGTTTTTCACTTAGTCTAGACTCATGCAAGTCAAGTCCAGTGAAAAATAAAGCCCAATATCACAAATCTGCCTCAACCCAGCCGGCATGCAGTTAACCAGCAACGTTACTAGACTTTGAGATTTGGTTAAATGTAGGTTGTGACGTCTGGTGACCAGCATTCAATGTCAGGACAAAGTCTAAAGCCAAAGTTAATTTGACGTAGAATACTGACGACAGCTGATGTTGATGTTTTGTCAGTTTTAAGTTGTGTCGTTAAGTCACCAAAATCCAACGTCTTCCAAATGTCTCACGCCAACGCCATCTTGACATATGCTAAGTCAAGTCAACTTTATTTCTGGAGCACAATTAAACACAGCTTGAGCTGACCGAAGTGCTGTACAAATGACAATTAAAAAAAACTAAAGCAGGTAAAACAAATGCATAGAATAAGTAAAAGTAAAACACAAGGAAAACATAGTAAATCTACTGTTTACAGAACATTTAAACGTACTAACAAAAACAAGAAAATAGCACGGAGCAAATACATGACAACTGACTAAAAGGTTAGCGGTGGGTATTGTTGGGTTTTGACGTCAACCCAATCTTCATTCATAAGCAAGATTTAACATCTGTCCGACATTAGAGTCGTAAGAATCCATCGTCTTTCTGATGTTACATTATACATGATGGGCAGGGGCTTTACATTCTGTACAGCACTGGCTCTCACAGAGGGGTCCGGGGAAACTTGGAGGGCATTCCTGGGGGTCCCCAGAAAAAAATTCAGTCCATAAGTAGCACAATGACAGAATGTATGACTATTTTGGTCACAGGTTTCAAACACTCTCTGTAGTAAAACATCTAAAAGCAAAAATCTCACCAGATGGGGGTCCATGGTTTAATACGTGGCAGTTTGGGGGTTGTAGACATGAAAAAGTTTGAGAACCACAGCTGTACAGCATACGACACCCTCTGTCTTTAGACCCCTGATGTGGACAAGAAAAAAACTCTTTAAGAGCAAAAAAAACAATTCAAGACTCAAGTCTGTCAGAGCAAGGTCACTGAATGCTGCTCAAGATGTTTAACAGTCAAAGCCTTGAGACTTGAAGGTTTTTGCCCTCAAGTCTCAAGTCAGGTCAACTCTTGAAGAAGACATGGCTCAAAGAGTGACAGCAGTTGAGGCTCAGAGAGTCATTTTTGTGACTTTAAGACCCCAGTGTGATAACAGAGTCCTTGCAGGCTCATAATGCTGACACTGTTTTTCCTGACTTGTTTCAGAATGGGGTTTACATGATAGTAATGTACATATTGTATATATGGGTGCTTACACTGTTGTGTCTCTTCAAACTTTATCCTGACTGATAATTGGTTTATAAACATGCATCACTGCAGCAGTCACACTGTGACGGTTTGCTCCTAAATGTCTGACACTGTTTCAAGCCAGTCTGTATTTGATTTCCAAACCTCTGAATCACCATCTTTCTCCCACAGTTGTCACAGTTGTCTCACAAGCTCGGCCATTTTGTTGTTAATCATGTCGTCTTCTTCTCAGGATGTTGCCTCTTTCTGAGAGTCTACCAGAGCCTGCAGGCTGTCTGCACATCAGCAGTTTAGTAAGAAATAATACAGTCCATCGTAATATAATCATCTCTAAACATAACACACAGGATGCAGCAGGTAACGTGTTTTTATCTCCATCGTAGCCACGTTACTGCAGCGCAGACAGACCGGCTCTACTTCGTGCTACAGCCGGCTCAGCTGCTCAAAGGAGACATCATGGTGAGCGGAGATGTGTCTGAACTTTATTATGAGAAATGATCCAACAGCTTTTTAACATCATTTAAAAGTTATCATTACTACTGTCGTAGGGAGCCAGTAGGGGGCGCCAAAAGTAGCTAAGCTATTTTGCTCTTCTTTTTGAGATTATTTTACTTTTTTTATTTATGAAACTGAAGACTGATTTTTTTTTTTACAAAGGCCTCTCCTTATTATTATTATCATTTTCTTTTTTTTTGAGATCACTTTATTTAATGTATCGGTGATTTCCAAATTATTTCCTAATATTATTCCATGAGGTTTCCTGTGTGTTACTATTTCTAAGGAAAAAAAGCATTTCTGGAAAGAAAATATTGAATTAAACCCAAATAAATACTGAAAAATACTGAAAACCTGATATGACAGACTAAAACACTCACAGTTTACATTAGACTGAAGTTCATTAATTGGAAGTTTCTATTTTCTCTGTATTTAGTACCAAACTGTATAATTGATTAATTGATTGTTTATTTGAGTGGTAACCTTAATGGCTGCATGACAAATCATAATACGCACTTCCATAAATCCAGTTGTTAGATTTGACACAGTGTCTCATCTTTAATTTGAATATAGTTTATATTAAGTTATAATTCTGTCCAGGAACATTCTTGGAAATCATTAGAGAAACTATTTAGAAACGATATGTGTTTAATATATTGTAAAGTGCTAAAAATATAAATAATGATATAAAACATAAGTAAACTAAATAGGTGTTATTTTGCTTTGTTAGACTGACTGTGCACCAAAGCCTGACTGTAGTGTGGCAGCTCATACATGTGTGTGTTGTGTCGTTACTTTCTGACTGTAGGTGGTGTGTTATGATAAGAACAGCCACTTGTCCAGCCGGCAGGTCGTCTTCCGTCTCCAGTTTCACACCGGCCTCGTGCACGGACACACACTCACCTTCTTGAAAGCAGACCTTGACTGTGCCAGTGAAGGTACTTATAACCTGCTGCATGCATACACACACACACACACACACACACACACACATACACTCACCACACACACACACACACACACACACACACGACTCACACTCACCACACACACTCACAAACACACACACACCACACACACACACACACCACACACACACCACACACACACACCACACTCACACACCACACCACACCACACACACCACACACACACACACGCACACACACACACACACACACACACACACACACACACACACACACACACACACACACACACTGTACTCCACTCTATCAGTCTTATTCTGTGACTGATAAATCCTTCTGCTCCCTCCTGTCTCCGCCAATGTAAACACCTGAGCTGAACTGACCTTGGACCCCGTATCAGTTGTGCAGATGTGAAGTACACATGAGAACAAGGACCAGTAAGGTTACCTGTCCATGGGTGTCTGATCTCTGTCTTATGTAATATTCCAGATCCTCGGTTCCCAGAAGATGGAAAAGTGGAGCTGCTGCTTTCTGAAAGTCCCGAAAAGATTACAGGTAGACTTCCTCTCACAAAAGAGGATTTTATTTCTTTTTTTTTAACTTTAAAAATGAAGCTTGTAGCTACGTAAAGACTGAGAACCATCACCTCAGGTGTTTTTCCAGCTTTGATCCAGAATCTGCAGAATCTTGGTTCAAGTTGTTAGTTTTTATTCTTCTGAATTTAGCAAGATTAAAGGTCCTATATTTTCCTCTTGTTGATCCATAAGAAGATATATTTGTGGGTTTAAGAACCAAAAATCATCTCATTGTAGTTTTACATCTCCTCTCTCAGGCTTCTCTCTGAAGCTCTAGTAACAACAGGTCGGTGAGCCAATCAGAAGAGAGGATCAGAGCCTCCTCTCTTCTGATTGGCTCACTGACCTGTTTTTGCTAGAGCTCCAGACTGTTTTCTGGGTGATTCAGTAAAAATAAAGCAGATTTCTGGTAAACACTCAGAGAAACCAAATCCTGGTTGGAAGGTGGGTCCAGGTGCGGCGGGCTTGAGGCATGGCTGATAGTGGTTGCTGCTTTGTTGTGACATCACAAGGTTCCAGAAGTCCTGACAGTTCGTTTTAAGGCTCAGTTTCTGAATACAGGCTGTGTGCATTTCTCTGTGGACTGATGCTTTGATACTTTCACAGTATTAATATAGAACCTAGACCTGCTTTTTAATCAAACAACATATGGACATCTACCTTTAGACTATAAGGGACCTTTAAGAGTTTAATGCCACACCAGCAAAATCATAATCAATAATGAGGTTTGAGGATATTAAAGAAATAAGCAGAACTTTCTGTGGCAGAAGCTTTTCCTGCTTTCCTGTTCTATTAGAAAGGTCACGACCCCTAACATTCAACTTGTTGACCTCTAACTGATGCATACAAATACCTAGACTCTCGCACACACACACAGAGACTCATAGACACATGATATAGGCTTACAAATGCTGTTTTCATTGTGTGTCTCAACTCAAGCAGAAGAGACAGAAATGACTCAGTTTGAAGCATGACACACACACACACACACACACACACACACACACACACTAATAATGAATGAAAAAGTTCATTATTGAGTTCAGCAGACACTCACCCAGGTGGGGGCAGTGTTGGACACCAGGAGAAAGGGCCGACTGGTCTTCGCACACACAACCGCACTCCTTGCCTCTCAACAGGAAGCAATATGAGGAGTTATCACACACACACATCTGACAGGAATTCAGATTGCAGATACTGTACACAGGAGAGAACACATAGGCGGAGAAAATCAGAGCGCACGCACACAAACGCACACAAACGCACACACACACACACACACACACACACACACACACACACACACACATATTGACGGACAGCAAGAAACTGAAACAAAATTAAACCCAAATTATGACTGAAATGAAATATGAAATCAATTCTGGGAAATCAGTTGGTGTTATCACACATAGCTGCGTGTGTGGGTGTGTGCGTGCCTTGTTGTTGGTTAACTGACTCCTGACAAGCGCTGCCTTTGTGTCTGCTGGTCATTTCCATGTGCAGGCAGAGAGCTCTGGCACAACGGCGCCTCTGTCACGGTGGACTATGACACCTTGGACCCTTTAGTGAGGCGAGACTCCTTCCAGGACATGTCTTCTCTTGAAACAGGTGAGATACATTTTACTGATTTAAATCAGAATTTCCTCCTTTTTTAAAAAAAAAACACTTTCCCTACGTTACTTTCATTTTCTTTTCCTATTGTGTTGAATTCCTGTGGATCCACGGTGTAATTATTAGACAGCATGTGACTTCTGTTCGTCTCTGCTCTACTCTAACATAATGTTTTCCTTTAGTTACCTTTAGTCACCTTCAGTTACCTTCAGTTACCTGTGTCCATGACATTCTGAAAACTAGAGCGCCACAACAGTTCAGGTCGACTTAGTTCACACTTATAAACCCTCATGTCTCATGTAGACTTCACATGCTGGTAACCTGCTGGTAATTTTCCAAAGTATGCTGCACAGCTTCACATGTGTTCATGTTTTCTCCTGCCATTGGCTTCCATTCATTATTACAGAATATGAAAATTAGTTAAGCGATTAACCCCAGATGTGTAATCCACCACATAAACATCAAGTCTGTGTTAATATTATTTTGTCAAAATTCATATTTCCTTATGTGAGATTACAGAAGTTATTCAGATTATTATATATATCATATTATACAGATATTATTTTCATATTTGGAAACTGTAAAAGAGAGTTTAAATTATGTACATGTGCAGCTCTGCTGATGACAGCTGTGAGATGTGGCTGAGAGCTCTGGAAGTTCTTCAGTAAGTGGAGCTTGAGCAAAGATTTTATTTATTTATTTTTTATCAAAACATTTCGATTAGATTTGTGAGGGAGCAAAACATTAACATGTGACAACAAGTTGCATATTTCTACATGTTCTGAAGGATTTGATTTCTTCCACAGAAACTGAAGAGCTGCTGCTCGTGATTTCTATTTCTGTTCTTCCTTTGAGTTACTGACATCAACAAACCAGACAATCAATGAATATTTGAAAACTAAAAATACTGCGTCAGTGGAACTTGGATTTGAACTTGAACACTCTGAGAAGCTCAGATTTAACTGGCATTTGGCCTCCATGATAACTTCGACCCAATAACAACAGCATTGTCTTTAAAATGGTTAGTTTGACTGTAAAGTATATGGTTTTGAATAGCATAAAGGGAATAAAACATGCAAAATCATGGGAATAGTCCTTATATATAGTCCTAACTATGCTTTGTGAAGCAGGCTTGTGACTTTAAGGTCACCCTGGACCAGCAGGTTAATTCTCCTTCATTACCACCACTGAGGTGCCCTTGAGCAGGGTAGTTGACCCTGAACTGCTCCGGTGCTGCTGCTTAGTAACCAACAGTTCAGACTGTAGTTGTTCCAGGTGTGAGTGGGTACAACTGCATGAGTGTGAACAAGGTCATCCTGAAATTTAAAATTGTATAAACTCACAAATTAATAAATAAAGACAGACTGAAAAGGGTTTCATCTTAGTGCTAAACACAGAGGATTGTCACTAACTCTGCAGCTTTTTAGTCTCTTTTTTCAGCACATTTTCTGCACTGTCTCATCAGCTCTGTTTCCTACGGTGGCCCTGAGAGCTCAACACTCTGCAGCTTAAGAAAACACATGCAAACAGAAAAAACACAAACAAATTCAGAACACATCTTCATCAATTTGACAAAACATGGGCTGCAAATACTCACAACACAACAGAGGTGTTTCCAGGGGACACTAAAAAGTGATGAAGGGGGCACTGCGGTAGAGCGCATACCATGAAAGTGTAGTCCTAACGGCAACGGCCTGGATTGGAGTCCAACCCCACTGTTGCCATCGGAAACAAGGCAGAAAATAACTTATAATACATCCATACAAGTTCGTCCCATGCATGCAGGTGGGGGTGAGTTATGCAGCAAAGGGGCCTCAGGTTGGACTTGTGTATGACTTATGTATTATAATACATCCATGTGCTTTTGTTGTTCAATGCTTTTAACTTCAAAAGTCACAAAGCATTGAACAACAAGTGCGTCCCAGCCAGATTCATCACTTGTCAGTGTCCCCTGGACACACTTCTGTTGTGTTGTGAGTGTGCAGCACATGTGTTGTCAAAGCGATGAAGATATTTTCTGAATGTGTTTGTGTTTTGTCTGTTAGCATATGTTTTCTTAAGTTGCATTGCAATGAGCTCTCAGGGCTACCGTAGTTTCCAGCAAATAAGCTCTGATAAATCCACTGCGCACACCCTGCTCAGCACCACACAGCAGACTGACAGTCAGAGACTAAACAAGGTGTAATATTTAAAAACTTGAGATTTCTTTTTCTCAGTAGCTGGTGGGGACCAAACCAGAGCTAAAAGGAGAGGAGAGTTCCTAAAACATGACTCATATGCAATGATAAAGTTGCTCTGTCTGTCTCCTGTGTGTGGAAGTAGCCAGATGCTAACATGTTAGACAATACGTCAAACATTGTGTGTTTTTCTGCCCCCAAGTGGCCAAAATAAAAAACAAAACAAATCTGTGACTGTATCTCTGGCTGCTGTTCAGATGTCATGTCCCCCTGTGGGTGCTGATCCAGTCTCTGAGAGCATGTTTTTAGACTCTGGTCTTCGCCGTGGTCAGACTTGTGGGTAACTGTCTGGTCATTAGTGCAACAGCTTACAACTGTTGTGGCCACAGAAGCCTCTCTGACGTTCCAGGGATAAATGGGTGCAACAACAATCATTTAGACAGCAGCCAGACCAGACCAGTGTGTGTGTGTGTGTGTGTGTGTGTGTGTGTGTGTGGAGGTGGCTGTTTTTCAAGGAGTTTCAATATAGTTAGAATAACCATTCACACACAGAAAAACATACATCCAGACAGCCGAAACAATCACAGTCAACCGGTGGTTGAGGTTTCAGTTCCAGCTGTTTTATGCTGTTTGCTAAATCTGCTCCGGCCAGCCATGTAATTTAGATAGAACGATCATTGGGGGAGCGATGTGGAAATGTAGCATGTAAACATACCAACACACACACAAATATATATACACACACATACATGGCCATTACATTTAACCACCAGCACTCACGCATGCACACGAGCGTAATGAGGGTGCCAGCCAGTTAGCAACGCAACCATTCGCAAGAATGTTGTTTTCAACCACAGGTGGTTCTACTTTACCCACCCACTCACACCCCTCCCCTCTCTGTATCACTCCATCTCTACATCTTCTTTTACTCTCTTCTCCGTAATCTCTCTCTCTTGCTCTCTCTCTCTCTGTGTGTGTGTTGCTCTCAGGTTCAAGCTGCAGGTTGCAATTTGTCCGATATGTCCCCTTCCCCCCCTTCTGCACACAAGTCTCTCAAGAGCCCGCCCCCATGTTTACATTCCCCTCTCCATATTTGGCCGACTAAGGGTCCCTGTGCTTTGTGTGTTTTTGCTTGAAAGTGCATCATGTGTGTGTGTCCTCCACCTGCATTTGTGTGTGTGTGTGTGTGTGTGTGTGTGTGTGTGTGTGTTTTCAAGTCTAGTGAATGATCCACCCTTCAGTTTCCTTCTACTGCTTCCCCCTCTTTGACATGAAAATGCATGAGCGCACACACACTCTCTCTCCACAGCATTACCTGGACAGGATGCAGGAGGGGAGGGAGCGAGGGAGGTGGAAGACGGGGGTGGGGGGGTGGGGGGTGGGGTGGAAGAGGGAGGGAGGGGAGGTGAGGCAAAGCAAAGGCTGATTTTTTGGTGGCGGTGAAGGCGGGATTCATAGTGCAGGGGACGGAAGCAGGCAAGGAAGGAGTGGGGGGAGAGAGAGAGAGACTGAGGGTGGGGGGGTGAGGGGAGGCAGGGGGGGGGCAAAGGGTGGGCTGTTAGACACTTAAGCAGAAAGAATGCTCTCTGCTTGTCTTCCTGTGGCAGCCTGAGAGACAGAGAGGACGACAGGACAGCACGGGAGGAAAAAAGAGAGAGAGAGAGAGAGAGAGAGAGAGAGGAGAGAGAGAGAGAGAGAGAGAGAGAGGGACTTCAACCAAAGCTGGTCTGAATCTTTTTCAGTCTCTCTCTCCTCATCCTTCTCATTCAGTCCTCGTCCTCGCCTCTGTTTCCTCTGCGCTTGTCATCTGTTTTCTCTTTTCCTCTTTCTCCGGCTGCTTCAGCAAAGCTTTTCCATCCTGTTTCTAGTCTGCAGAGGGAACAGTGAAAGTTTGCCCCCCGACTGCCGGTAAAGTAAACTTCTTTTTGATGCTAGTTTGGCATGGTGTATGTGTGTGTGTGTGTGTGTGTGTTTGTGTGTGTTTTTTTTAATTGAAACTCTTACAGTACAGTAAAAGTTATAGGACGTGTTCATCAGTTTGTCAAGATATTCCTCATCTGTGCATCTGTGTGTGTGTGAGACCTATTGGGCCAGCTGTGAGGTTTTACCATGCATGTCTGGTATTTGAGTTTTATTGCCTCTCTGGACTTAAGAGGTTGCACTCATACAGCTCTGGTATGCACTGTATGTAGTGTTGCCTTCACTGTACTGTTCAGTCTTATCTGATCTAAGTGTAGCAGCCTGTATCAGAGGAGAACTCTTTTACTCAGAATATGTTGCTTTCTAGTTTGTTATAGATGATTGCTTTTGAATAATTGTTTGGTCAACTAAAAAAAATACCTGTCACTTTCCTAAAGCCCACGGTGACATCTTAAGTTACGTATTTTATCCAAAACCTAAATATATTCAGTTTATTATCATAAATGACAAAAAAAAGCAGCAAATCCTCACAATCGTGAAGCTAGAGCAAGAAAACATTTTGCATATTTGCTTGAAAAAAAACACAAACGATGATTCAATTATTAAAATAATTAGTTAGATTAATTTTATATTGATTATATTGATGATAAATTAAATAATTGCATTAGTAGTTAGTTAGCTATAGTAGTTGCTAATAGTTGCAAGACTCAGAAATCTGTTTTGATATCGCTTCAAACATTGAGTGTGTGTGTGTGTGTGTGTGTGTATGTGTGTGTGTGAACATGCGATCTGCTCTACCTGACCTCAGGTAGACCAGACACCTCCTTTGCATGGCACACACACATACACACACATGCACAGACACACACATATGTATCCACCAGCCCACACAAAGGGGCTCTGTGTTAACTACATGGAGTGTGTCTGGAGTGATGACTGTGGTCCAACAGGTGGTGTGTTTTTGTGTGTGTGTCATAATGAATCATATACAGTAGGTGCTGGTATGTAGTCATACATACCAAGAATATGTTCAATAAGAGGGTGTTACTGTCACTGTTTGTCAAACTTTTACAGTTTAACTTGACTAAAATGTCTCAGTCATTGATTTAATAGAAAATGATACTGGGTCATTTAAGTCTCTGTTTATGCCAAAACATTCTTTGATTCCAGTTTACTAAATGTTAATATTTGCAATTTTTTCTTAGTAGTAAATTGTCACCTTGTCCATTGTGGTTAAAGAAACTCTGATTTCACCATGTCCTCCTCTTCTCTACATCGCTGCTTCATTAGGTCACATTTGCATCTGTTGTCAACATATAAACCTCGTGCTGAACACAGTGGGGTTTTTTTTTTTTAATCTTCACAGTTCCACCCCCTGTCCTCGACCCTGGAAATGGCAGTTTGTACGGCCGAGTGAGGAAGAAGAGCAGCGAGGAAGGAGTTTCACTGCCCTTGACCACCAGCAGTCCCAGCTGCAGCGACCGAGCTCCGTCCGCCAGCAGCGACTCCGGCCTCTCTGTGGCCTCGCAGGGGAGAACCGGGGCAAGGCAGAGGAGAGGGGTTGCGCGGGACAAGAGCACCCAAGCGGGGAAGCTTCTCTCAGGGTTGGACTTTGAGATCGCTCAGCCTCTCCTGGAGGTCATGACTGAGCTCGCTGCGTGCGGTGGAGGGGAGGTGCAGATGGTTGGAGATGAGACTGGATTGGGAACCACTATCAACGGAGAGGCTTCGTCCAGCGAGAGGGAGACTGACATACTGGATGATGAGGACGATGCAGCAGCTTCTGCTTTAGACGTACTGAGCTCGAGTAGCATCGGCTCCCTGTCCTCAGAGAATCTACCGGAGACTCAGAGATCAGCCCAGACCGAGTACTCCACGCACTCCTGGGTGAGGCAGCAGCAGATGGTGGATGTTGTCACCCATAATTACATCGAGGTGGTGGCGGAGGAGAGGTCGAGCAGGGTGAGGAAAGAGAGGCCTCCACCTCTGGTAGCTCCTGACACACCGCCTCGAGGACTCAGCAGCAGGGAGGCCGTGCAGAGAGGGACACACAACGTCACCCAAAACGCAGATAACACACACCAAGAGGAGGACTTGTCCTCGTTAACCACCGACATCGATGAGTCCATAGAGCAGCTGAACCAGCTCATTCTGGATTTGGACCCAACCTTTGTTCCCGTTCCCACCCGCTGCGCCCCCCTGTCCCGCTCCGCCTCCCTCCACACCAACGGCATCAGCCACAAGGGAGATGCACACCTGTCAGGTAAGGACCAATCAAAACAAATGAAAAACAACATCATAAAACAGTGAAGAAGGCAGACTGATAACCGGTAAACATCTGCTTCTTTGACATCTGGGGGTCGACTTGCGAGGCACAGGGAGGGGGTTAGTCTCCAAAGTTGTTTTATTTACATGTCGTGTTGCTGTGAGTTTGGGATTAAGTGAGTGAGTGAGTTTGGGTCAATCAAATTCACGTCACTATTGCTTGCACCCATGTACTCGAACTCAATCATACAGACTTACGCTCCGTCTCTGCCACTTCCTTCCTCCAAGCGCCAAAACCGTGGGCACTTCCAAATTTACACTGATTTGAAAACAAACTCCAGATTGGTCCATGTTGGATCAGCATGTTGTTGTTGTAACCACCAATAGCAGAGTGTCCCTCCAATTGATCCAATCTAGCATTTACCACACTCCAGCTGACCACGCACACGCTGCGTTTGCACGTCGTAGTGTGTGTGTGTGTGTGTGTTGGTCCTCACTGTTAATTTCCTATGGTGTTGAAATGCTTGTATTTTTCCAAATCTGTATAGTAGGCTGTGGTTTGTGCAGGAGGTTTATCTTGGACATTTGGTTGGGACATTCAACTGTTTAGCGCTCCCACTGGCAGAAACATAAATTGGCGCCTATGCCTCCAAGCAATGTGTTCTGTCATCACCATCCCTCCACACAGGACAGTCTCAGTCCAGACTGTTCCCGTCTGCGGTTCCCCGATAGTGGAACAAGCTCCTGACTGTTATCAGAGCGGGAGCGTCCCTCTCTATCTTCAACAATCTGTTGAAGATTCATCTCTTCAGAGAGCACCTCCTCTCCTAACTCGTTAGCTTTTAGTGATGTCCTTCACTGCCCATCACTGGCAGGAACACAACAAACACCTTCACTTCACATGGAGAGGCAGCAGATGTTTCACAAACCCCCGGCACCTGCAACCAAAATAATCCAGCAAGTATGTGATGAAATCTGCCCGTATTTTGGATGAACTGGTCCTTTAACACAATTTTACTCGCATACAACCCGTCCACTGTCACAAATACACCTGGGCCAACAAGCTGGCGGCAGATGAAGCATGTGAGCTCAGACTTCACACACAGAGACGCATTTATAACCATGAAGGACTAAAGGGCTGCCTGAGAGAGAGAGAGAGAGAGAGAGAAAGAGAGAGACATGTGTTAGTGACTGAAGGTGTGTGTGTACGTGTGCACGCTGTTTGCTGAGAGGGTGGAAGCATTTGATTAAACAGGTACTAGATATTCCTGCTGTGTAAGCAGTGTAAAATCACGACCTCTGCCCTCCGCCCCATGTTGTGTTTACACTCCAATCAGTCTTATTTTGAATGGAAATATACAAGAGTTACATAAGGAAAGCATGTGTAAGGAGAGGCAAAGATGGAGTAGAGGCATCGAAACACAATCCACGGGCATCATTAGAGAAGCTACAGTTTTGAAGACGCTGAATGTGATTGAATGAACTTTTTATCTGGAAAGAGTCAGTTAAGACTTTTAACACTTCAAATTAAAATTAGAAAACTGTCAAAATCCTGATTGGAAAAAAGAAAAAAAAAAAAACATGTTTCGAAAGTTAAAGCTGAACAGTTTTAGACCCAAACGCAAAGTGGAAAAGAAATGTTAAAAGGCAGTTTATTGTAAATTTGAACAATAGATGGATCTTTTTTTTAGTAGTATTAATAGTTGATCAACTAATCAATTAATCAAATAATCATTGTGCCATGCACAAACTTCTTTTCCTAACAACCATTGGATGCCTCGGTGGCTCACCTGATAGACTGCGTGCCATTTAGGATCAGTCCTTACTGCAGCAGTTTGGGTTCGATTCCAACCTGTTGCCCTTTGCTGCATGTTATCCCCTCTCTCTCTCTCCAGCTTTCCTGTCTCTCTCACTGTAACTATAATAACAACGAAAACCTGAAGTGAATCAAGAAGACAAACACTGGCTTGAAAGGTTTGTCCGACATCAAATAATGACTTGTTTAGGACTCGAAACACAAAGTTTGGGACTTGGTGCTTCACAGTCAAGACAACAATGACTTTTGCACCTCTGAGAACTTGAACCTGGTCCATACACTGTAAATAAAGACGGAAGTAGCCTCCATCACGTCACACACAGGTTTTCGAAGAGCAGTTTTAAAGCTCAGAGTGAGCTGCTCCGCCGTCGCCATCTTGGTGGCATCTGACTCCGCCCCAAACTTCCGGCTAATCCAAAAATAGGCAAAGAGGAGGGGTGGGTGGAGCCGAGACTTCAGTGCATGATGGTTTCTAGCATGCATACGCTCTCCTACCTGTCACTCAAAGCAGCCAAGCCCTCAATTATTCACAACTTTAAAGTTAGTTTTATAAACAGGTGTCATGAAGAAGGAAATTTTAACATCTATGGGGATTGACTCACTGTTGGAGCCAGACTCTAGTGGTCATTAGAGGAACTGTGGTTTTTCTCACCTCAGTGTTGGCTTCATTTTTCAGCTGCATGACCTGAACATGTCTCCTATAATTTACATTTACTTACATTTAACCAAATCCAGCATCTTTCCCAAACTGTAACCTTTTGCTTTTGTCGCCAAACATGGTCTCTTGTTGTACCTTTCGTACGCCCGCCAACCTCCCAACCACCTCCTGTCAACTCTGCTGCGCCTCATTCAAAAAAACATGATGCAGTCAGCGATTAGATTCCCTACAGAACGTAATTGTTGCTGCAGTTTAGTTGTATAGAAACGTTTCCCTTACACAGTTGGATGCCGCCTCTTTCTCTGACCCCGTGTGTGTCAGCGCTGCCTCTTCTTCACTGTCTCTTCTCACCGCGCTGGCACTCACGACAGATTTATCCCCTCTCATATCCACCGGGGATGGAGCCTGGAGGAAGAGGCGCATTTCTGCTGCGACCCCTGTCCCCACAGGTCGTAGGTGTACGAGTGACGGCATCACTTCCCGCCTCTTTGCACGCGGAGCAGCTGTTCTTTCAAAGCTATGGCTCCGGATTGGTTCACGTGGGAGCTCGCTGATGAGAACGGTGACAGCATCTGAATCATGTGTGTCAGGGGCTGTGCTGTGGTTATCGGAGACCCGCAGCCATATGCCATGTTACAGCTGACGTTGACCTCTGACCCTGTGTTTTTGCGCACCGTTAGGTCAACGAGAGTCTTCTGAGTTCTCCTCAAATCGTGGAATTTGAGCACAGGAAATGGAGCATGTGTGTTTGTGTATATGTAGGTCAACGAGTGTGTCAGGGAGCTGGAGGCTGATATTTCCCAAGGGCACATTTGAAGCAGTAACTCTAATATTTTGCCTGTGTTTGAAACATGTGTTTTTCAAGGGGATGTTTGTAAGTGATCAGGAATGCTTTTGAAGTTTGAAACAACACTTTGCTCTCCTGTGTGTTTGCATCATACCCCCCCCCCCTTTTAGAGAGTCGCCGTCTCTAAAGTACAGTGGGTATCGAGTGATCCTCGACCCGGTGCTCTCCTCCCTCAGCAGGCCCTGTGGTGTGGGACAGAGACTGGATTAGTTTCAGTTGGGCGAACTCGGCCTCTCATGTGATCTTGAGACGATGGATGCTCACAGTGAAAGCTGAGCTCACACTGCTCCTCATGGCTATCCACAATTAAGTATGAGCCCATATACGGTGAATCTCTGTCGTGACACACACGTCGGCTGCTGCTTTCTGTGGTGTGGTGTTTGTGATGTTTCCAGGCTGCAGTACAGGAGAATTACACTGGGAACTGTAACAGTGGGATGCTGTCGCTGAACTACCAGCTCTATCTCTCTACATAGAGTTTGCAGGTTTCTGGAATGGTGGATTTCTTTTCATTATAAATGAATTTCTCATTTATTTTTGACATTTTTGGCAAGTGCACCGACTGCACATGCTCAAAGCAGCAAACTGGATTCTTTGTTACCCACATTTATATGACTCCTCTTTGAAACAGTACAAAGACAAATGACATTGAACTCCTGGTCCTATTCTCCTGTTCTCATTAAGCAGTTGCACATTATATTTTGCATTGTTGCCTTCATCTTGTTCTCTTCTCCTACTTCTTCTTGATTTTTATAACAGTTTTATATCAGACCCTCGTTTCTGCTACGAATGGAGCCGAGTGTGCGTCCACACAACTGGAGAAAAGTCTTTAGCTGTGACGCAGATGCAGAAAATATGTCTGTGCTTTAAGACTGTTTTTCTAGCTGAGTAAAATTACCCAAATATACAGAATAAAGTTTTCACTGTATAACCATCAACTGATCTCCTGCCTCTTAAACTTTTTACTTTATTGTTAGTTGTCTACAATAACCAAAGAACCTCTCTGCTATCATACCTGCATTTCTAAATTTAGTGTTTTCTGTGTATATCAATAAAAAAAAAATTGGGCTCAAATTATTGACATTGAAGTCTTTGGTCATTAACTCCACTGTTCTTTAAAAAAACAACTGGTGGCTCACCCGGTAGAGCGAATACCACGATGGCTCCGTCCTTACGGCAGCGGCTTGGATTCAAGTCCCTTTGCTGCATGTCAGCCTCTCTCTCTCTCTCTCTCTCTCTCTCTCCCCGCTTTCCTGTCTCTCTCTCACTGCAGTTTTAATTAAAACATAAATTTAGGCAAAAATGCCCCAAAAAAAACAAAAAACCCAACAACAACAACTTGGGAGACTCTTGAGGGACTGTTGATGTCGGTAGCTGAGCTCTGCGACTGGAAAACAGTTTCCTACCTGAGCTGCCGCTCATCCGATAATGTTTGTCGTCACTTCCGTCTTTACTGTGAGAAATAAAGTTCGAATAACAAGATTTTACCACGTTTTCCCCTCTGCTGTACACAGTTTCCTAATTTTTCAACATTTCTTTTTTTATTGATATTTTTGACTTTTTCATCTGCCATACAGATTGTCATCTTGTCTGTTTACACTAAGAGACAAAAAAACAACCCAACAACAAACAAACAAACAAGCAAGCAAACAAGATGGTCTGGTAACAACCTCATAAGACTAGACTCTGCAACATCAGTCATAATCAACATTTCAAATATTTATTAATGATCAGTTACATTTCTAAAAAGGATTCTTTAAATTTTGTTAATGAATTGAGAATCAGATCGTTACTGAGACGGACATTTTCCTGTCCAAAGTTCATTTCTCATAATTTATTGACCAACATATGGACAAATACTGATAAAATAAGCCTTTGTTCGTCAGTTTGTTCTATATTGCTATATTATTTCCATCCTGCTGGTCAGAAGCAGCTTGTTATACATTATCTGTTTAACGTGAGTATGGATGTCTGTGAGTGGATGATCTACTCACATCTGAAAACAACCGATTGTTCAAACAGATGTTTTTCCGACTAAACACCGTGATGTTCCACCATCTGGTCCCAGAGGAGTCTCACTTAGTCACACAGACTCTGCCCTGATAAACACACTGATACAAGCAGTTTGTCAGACACAAACACACCAAATGGCAATCGCTGTCATCACCTTTTATTGCATCTGGTCATAACAACGTGTCAATCGTCGCGGTTCAATGATTTCAGGATCCAAATACAGACACACGCACACACACACACACACACACGCACACACACACACACACACACACACAGAGGCAGACTGAAGAGTGAGGGGGAACGCACACTAAACACACAAGGGATGCAAAGGTAATGAGGAAAAGGTGAAAGTAATCAGGGCGGGGCAGGTAATCACATAGGCGGAAAACACACACAAATGCAGGAGGTGAAACATTCAAAAGAAAGGCGATTTCAAAATAAAACAGGAAATGCTAAACAGAGTCCAGACCTGAAGACAGGAGGGACAGCTCATGAATCAACACTCTTTATTGTTATGCTTCTTTTTTTTCTTACTGTAGACATAACAGTTGGTGGATGTGTAATTTCATGGAGGAACATATGACTGATTAGATTTCTGATCATAATCTGTCTGACTGTCTGACTAACCACCTCCTCTTTATCTCTCTCCTCCTGATCAGGGTGGAAGCAGCAGAAGCAGGTCAGTAATGTGACAGACTACGCCGGTCTACACAGTCCAGGATGGATAGGGGGGGCACCTCAGACCTTCAGGGGCTCCCCAGTCCACAGTCCCCCTTTCTCTCCTTCTCGGGTAAATACAGTTTCCTGTTCAACTCACCTGACAGCCACTTTACTTTAACCCTAAACCCCAGTAATCCATCAGTAGCTAATAGAACATAAAGATAACAAAACATTAGTGAGAAGTGATCAGATTAACTGACAAAGTCCTGGCAAAAACAAGCTTGGCACCCTGGGAAAACACATCAGTGAAACATTTTCATCATAAAGGCTGTTAAAAGCTTCAAAAGGTTCTTTTCTTAAAGTAGTTAAAAATAATCAAAATAACTAAAATTAAGGGGCATGGATGCTGCGATAAAATGAGAAGCTTAAATATTGTCCAGCCAGTTAAGAAAAACAAGGTAATTAAAAGTCCAGAAAGCAGAGGGAGTCTTAAATGTCCGAGGAAAACGAGGTAACGTCCACACGTCTCCTCCATCTGTCCAGGGTTTCTGCCACTGGTCCTCTGGTCCTCCCTCTCTCTCCAGAGCCCAGGGGACAGTATTCAGCTTACATCCCTCCCACCCAGCACTTCCTCTCCCCTCAGAGTGAGAGTGCTCCTTCAACTAGCCCAGGGCAATATGGCCACAGAATGAATTTTTTTTCCAAGCTTGGGGACTAACTAATTTCTTTTAATTTAATTTTTAATTTTTCTGCAAAATGCATAAAGACGACTTCATTTCAATCAGGAAAGACTGAAATTTTTGAGTGAGCAAAGCTTTAATGGCATGTGCACAACACGAAAAGTGAAAGGTGAGCGTCATTGGCAATTAGACCCCCGATGTGATATCATCGTATTGGAGAGGGGAAGAGATGCTGTGCATAGTGTTCATGCAAACAATGCAGCTCACATTCTGTTTACAATAAAACCACAGGTTTAAAACCAAGACCCAAGACACATTTCACGCCCCACCAGCAGAGGAAAAAAACAACCAAAACAAATATAGATACACAACATTAGAAAATACTACATCAGCATATACAGCATATAAACATGCACAACTCACACCAAACATAAACTGTGACACTCAACATGCAAACAGTAATACAGTTATCAGTATCTGCAGGCGAGACTCATGCACAAGAGGAAACTCGAGGACATTCACACACAGGGAGAGGAGACAGAGAAGTGCTCTCACTTCTCTAGATCTGAGCTGAGTGAGTGAAGCAACAGGAAGACAACAGTTTAGTCTCAGATTCACTTTAATTGATCCTGACTCCAGCTTTGATCAGATTATATCGGTTTACTTTGGGTTTATTGAACCCAACCCCTTAAACTTTTATAACCTCTGATTCAACTCATGTGTCTCTGAATTGAGTGTAACATTGAGTTATCACCATCTCTGTTGAGATCATGATTGTGTAACTGTATCTACATCTTTGCTCTTTTCTACCTCTCTCTGTCTCTCCTGCACTCGTTCTTATGGCTGACTGGCATGAATGGCCCGACTGTTTAAACCAAAACACAGATCACAAGACTGATGTCTGCTGGTGTGTGTGTGTGTGTGTGTGTGTGTGTGTGTGTGTGTGGGGGGGGGTGTCACCTCATACAATTTAGAAGAAAAAAGTGAACCATGCTCTTCACTTTTCCCTCTGTCTTGTTCTTTTCTTATTTTTTGTTCTGTTCTTGTTTAAAGCATGGGCATCTCCACAAAGCCAACAGCATGGGTTATCAGGGACAAACGGAGAGCCCAGACCTTGTCCCACAAACTCCAGCCTTCCCAGTAACCCCTCCAACGCCCTACGGTAAGAGATAAGGGTCAAAACAGACACTTCTGGCCGTGGGTGTGTCTGCATGTTGAAATCTTATCAGCGTCTTCCTTCTCTCCCCAGTAAAACATTTCTCTGAGTTTTCCCAGCTCAGGACCGGAGTCCAGTGGGAGCAACACAGCTGGACACAAGGTACACTTTCCCCAGCAGTGTGACCATATATAAGTGTGTGTGTGTGTGTGTGTGGGTGTGTTTGACTGGCGAAAGCACTAGAGTTTGAACCGAAGCACTCAAGCTCCTGATTGTTGCTGGACAGTGTTCAAGAGCTTGCTGGAATGTCCTCCTGGTGTAATGCACCAAACACACACACACACACACACACACACACACACACACACACACACCTGGCCTGTACTTTGTTGCTATTGGCTGGATTATGCGGGCATGGCTCTGTTTTTGGTCAGTCATGGCTGGTCAGAGTCACAGATGGTTTATTCCTGCGTTTTTGTGTTTGAGTCAAAAAGCAGTTGAAGGGATTAAAAAGAAAAAGTGCATTTGAATGTATTTCCCATCAGCCCCCTGTGCAGGACAGCTGATGCTGGAAGTCCGCTAATAATAGCTGAGGCTTACAGAGGAAGACACCACTGCTGGCAGGATGTCCACTCACGTCCTGTTCTGGGAGGGGACAGGGGGAGAGGGGAGGGTCTTTTGTTTGTCCTGGACATCCTGCTGGAGGAGACATGAACCACACAGCTGCAGGAGGAATTTACTGTAGTGTCAAAAAAGTGGAGTGGTGGAGTTTCATATCTGATCTCAGTGGCTGTTGTCCTGCAGAGGTTCTGACACTTTTTGCGCTCTCAGTGAGGAAACAAATGATGTGACGATACGCCTCTGACAGCCTCTGATAAAAACCAGAGGCTGTAAAACTGTTTGTTGCTTCTTCAGGAAGAACAACAGTTGCCAACTTGTCTAATATCAACAGAAACTTCTAAAAAAACCTCTGCAGTGTCAAATATGTTCAATAATATAAACATTGTCCATCTCTGTTCACAGTATGTGCTGTGATGAGCTAACGTTGATGCTTAAAGCCTCTGCTGAAGCTGCACCACTTCCTGCATGTACTTCACAATAACTGCACGTGAAGGCAGCAGCAGGCTTTTACTATGAAACTGGAAGTACTGACAGTGACATCCCTCGTTAGCTAACGTGAGCTAAGTTCAACTAAGACTGTGTAGTTTTTCGCAAAGTACTATTAACACTTACTTACTTACAGGACTTACAGTATCAGCACCAGTTGACGTCATTAAGCCAGTAAACAGTAAATACAGTGTTATATTCTGCTGTGTTTATTAGCTGTGATGAGTGAACGTTGACGTTATAGCTTCTGCTGAAACTGTGCCACTTCCTGTACTTCAAAAAGTTACATGTTGTCAAGGTTGCTAGGTGACAGGGCCCGGTCACAAAGCACGGGTAGGGTGAGTACAGCTGGGTGAGTACATCTGGTGACACTAAGCCCAAACGTCTCATTTTGATTGGGCCTTTGTGGTCCACGAAGGGCCACACATTCGTAGAACACGTCCTTCGAAAAATGCGGTCCCTGAAATGGGACACAACTTGTGAAAGTTTAAGTATTGATATGGGTTTCATGTGTAGCTAACGTTAGCTAAGTTTAACATAGCCAGTGTTATTGTGCATTAACCCACTGTTTATTTACCAGTCTAGAAGACATGCTGCGAGTTCAGCATCAAACTCAAATGAATAAAGATAATAAAGTTGTTTAAGTTCTGTTCAGACACAGTGAAACCGTTTCAGGCAACAGAATATAAACCATCAATTAAAAAAGACAATAAATCGAAACTGGTAAGACCAATAAATTTAATAAGAAAGTGATGCTATATCACTGCTGTACTGAAAATTTCAGTGGGTGGAAATGAAGTTTTACTTCATATACAAAAATTCATGGTATATTTGAATCTATCTAGTCTATATTTACTCCACCCTAAAGAAAACAGCTCACATCCTTTATTTAATGTTAATTTTGTAAAATGTTTCAAATGTTTATCAAGTCAAACCTGTGTTCAATCAAATTAAGATAAAATTAAATAACAAAATGATCAATATCAAATCGAAACCAGCTACTGCAGATAATCAGAAAATCTAAATATTTTCCCAAACATTTATTGATATGAAAAGGTGATATTTATGGTGGCATTTCCCTGTGTGCTGCAGACAGACCAGTCCATTCTTTTTAAGGGCAGGTTTGTGTGTTTATTATAAACATGTTTGTCAGAGCAGAGAGGCAGCAGGACGGAAAAAGAGCTGATGAAAGAGTATTATTATTTGTGTACAGAAAAAACACCTGATTCTTTCTTTCTGCTGGATGGACAGAAGAATTAACAAAGGACACCCAATATCTGTTGCTTGCTGCCGTTTTGGGGGCAGACAACAGTTTCCTGTTTCCCACGTTAGAGGCAGACGACGGTCTGGGAAGTAAATTGCCATGTCGGGACAGAGCAGTCAGATTCCCCATTTAAATGATTTTTATTTCATGTTTACAGTCATTAATGTAATCACAAATTGACCTGAGGCTACTGGAGTGTGGGGAGTGATTATAGTGGGCAGCATGAGTTCCCACACTGTTATCACGGGGCTGATCACACTGGGAATGCTGGGATTGTTTGTGTGATGTATGTGCTGGTGTTGATGTTAATGAAATTCAAACACAGATGCAAATAAAGTGCATTTATAACATTAATTTAAATTTAAAAATGTAATGTAATGTGCAGTATTTTCAGGCAACATATCTAAAACGTTCTAGTGTGTGACTTTAAAAAGTGAATTAAAACAGCATGCAGGATTTTTTGCAACATTTGGGGGCAGCTGTGAACTAATTAGACAACAATTGCCTTCTTACACATCCAGCAGACATTAGCAGACATTTTGAGGCATGTTTCTGACCATGTAATGAATATAAGTCCAGTATGTTCTCTCTTTTAGCTCTGTATTTTGGTCTCCACCAGCTCCTGAGGGAAATATCTCTATTTAGCTTCTAAATGCTTCACTGTGTTCACCAGCTGGTCTGTCTGATGTTTGGTCAAGGATAGGGGCTTCATCAGAGCTTCACTGAAACGCTAAAAAGCTCCACAGAGCTGAGGCCACCTGCAGAGGTGATGATCATTTTCATCAGGTTCAAGGTTTCACACGATGAGCAGCGTTCATTTATATTTGACCAATTGTAAATATTAAATATTTATTAGTGCAGCATTAAGGTCATTAGTCATTTTACAAATTCTACACAATTTTAGATATAAGTGATGTCAGTAGTTGTATTTCAAAATGAAGCCGGGCTTATCAAGCAGCCAAATTTACCCCAGTTTTAACCAAGATGTTGAGGTGGATTTTAACCTGTAAAATCATCAAATAATAATAATGATGATAATAATAATAATAATAATAACAATAATAATAATAATAATAATAATAATAATAATAATAATTCATTTTTATTTATAGGCACCTTTCAAGGCAGTCAAGGACACCTTACTACACAGTAAAAGATAAAATGTAAGTATAAGGCATAAAATACAAAATAAATTACAATAATTATAATTGCATAGAAATACCCAATAAACCTAAAAAGTCAAAGAAACGTGACGTGATGTCCTTCAACCAAAGAGAGAAACACAAAATTCAACACAATTACAATAATGTTTTAAAAGGTTTAATAGCGACAGATAAATGAATAAATAATACATTCTTTACATCACAGATTCGTCTCAGTGTTTCGCCTCGTATCAACCCGGAGATAAACCCTGCTGTTGTCTCTTCCTCGTGACAGTGAACCTCTGACATGTTATGTAATGATTTCGTCTGTGCACATGTGGCCGAATCACAAATAAACAGTGATATATACAGTAGCTCTCAGCCAGCGGAAGCAGGTTTCAGCCAGAGGAATGTCAATGTTGTTATGAGCTGAGGGTTTAGCAGAGGGCGGATGGTCCGCTCAGATAAACACTTTACTGTCTGAGGCTCAGGGGTCAAAGGTCAGGGGAAAGTAGAGGGAGGGTGAGAGGGTTGAATGAGAGACGGATGATGGATCTCACAGATTTCAAGTGCCATTGTTGAACCTGAACAGGTTTTGTGCAGACAGATGGTTTATTGTTTAATTACCAATTAAAATAACTGTGTGGTCAACAGATCTTTAGGAACCATTTGTAATGTCAGAAATCTGCTTTTGAGTTTTAATCTCATGAAGTGATTTTTCATAGACACTTCTTGAAGAAGATAAAAAAAGAAAATAGAAAAGTTTGAAAGTACAGTACAATTATTGCACTAATGATTAATTTAAAAAATGTATGTATGACTAATCATGTTATCATAACAACTATCAGCAGTAATTACTCAATATTCTTTAGGAGTCTGGACTGGTCTGGAATAGGTTTGTTTATCAGAAAGGAGTTTTTTGTAATTAATCTATTTTCTTTTTAGTTCTGATCAGTTGATGAACACAAAAGGAGGAAGTTGTTTCATATGTAAATTTAGCAAAAATTAACAAATATCAAATATTTAAGAATTCTCCCTCCTTACAATCATAATCAGATTATCAGCACAAAAAGATGATTTTTCACCAACTTAACATTCTTAACATCCATATGATGAGTGTTTCCACCTTGGAGCTGCAGTGAACCAATGACAGGCTCATAACAACAGATTCAGACAGCCAGGGTTTCATACGTCACAGACCTGAGGAACCAATCCTTTCAACTTGTGGGGACGGAGGCGGAGCTAAATAAACCTGAAACCTTGTCAATACAGAGAGTTAGCATTAGCACAACCGCTAACACTGTGTTAGCCACTGCCAGTTACAAGCTAACAAACAACATAAACAAATAAAAGATGCTAACTGCGCTAACTGTTCTGATCCATCTGCTAGTCTCTGATTCTGGTCTCAACAGACTCCTCATCTGAGTCTGGGTCTGACTGAGGCTCAAACATGTTTCCTCCTCTAACCATCTTGATACTCTCTGCTCTTTCACCTGTCCACCTGGAGCAAACAGGTGGTGGGCGGGGCTCAAGGCCTGATCCAGATTTATCAATCAGGCAGTAAGAATAGATGAGCTTCAGACCCAGTTTTTGATGTTTTTTTTCACTTTTAGTTTAAAACATCTGGAGGAACTTTAAGCTTATAAATG